ACGGCCAGCTTCTCCCGCACCTCGGCCCCCATCTGCTCCGACCCGCCGCCTGTCCGGGCTTGGGGTCGGGGCTTGGGGTCGGGGTCAGAGCCAGAGCCGCCCTGGCTTCGGGGTCACCTGACCCTGGGGACCGGCGGGGCCGCCCTTGCTCGCCGCCCTCCCTCCGCCCACCCGGCACGCCACGCGGCACACGGGTCTCTCTGTTCCCCCACCCCAGCCCCCCGAGTCCCTGGTCCTAGTGCTGAGGGGGCCAAGTGCCACGCCGCCCCGGAGACCTTCCCGGGCACCCCGGCCCTCCGCGCCCTGCACCCTTCCCGCCAGACGGTCACCCCGCCCCGCGGACGCCTGCACGCCACAGCGCTCGGCCCCACGCCCAGGGACCGGACCGAGGGGCTGACCGCACGGCGCCCTGACGGACCGGCAGCCCCGGCCGCGTGTCCAGGTCCAGCCCAGCCTCCGGGAGAGCCGGGCGCTGCCGGGCGGGCCAGGGCTGCCTGGCACGGCTCGCGAGCACTCACGAGGCCAGGCCTTGGCACGCTCCCGGACGTGCGACTGGAGGCTGGCACCGGCTGGAGCCGCTCCATCCCGCGCCCCTTTCCCCTGCCTCGGGCCCAGGCCCGCCGCTCCCCCGAGGGCTCTGCCCGCCCTCGCCGCCGAAACGGCTCCCCCGTCCGTCCCGCCCCAGGGGCTCTGGGCAGCAACCGGACCCCGGCTGCCCACCTGGGCGGGGGCCGCTGCCTGGCACCCAACCACTTGTCCGTGGGCTCCGGCTCCACCCTCCCCAGGAGCCCTCGGCTCCCAAGGGCACGCAGCAGCCAGGTGCCCTCCCTGCCCGACGCCCCCACACCACCTCTGGCCCAGGGCCGGACACCTCGCCTGGCCCCCAGCCCCCTTTTCGGAGCCATCGCTGCCCCCCAGGGCTGGTCATTCCAGGGGTGGGGGCAGGTGGCAGGGGGTGGAAGGGGCACAGCAGAAAGGTCCGGAGCTTCGCCGCCAGCCTGGCCCTGACCCAGTCTCTACCTTGTCGCCTCCTGTCCGCCGGCCCTCTCATTCCACAGACCCCACTGCCTGCCCCCCCCCCCGCCCCAGACAGTGGGCCAGACCCCGGCCTCCCTGGGCCTCAGCTGCCTCCTGCGCGCGCTGGGGATGCAGCTCTCACGCGGGGCCCGCAGCCTCCCAGAGACGTGCCCCCGGCGTCCCGCCGGCCGAGGCCAGGTGAGCAGCACGGCCTGGCCCTCTGCCCCGACGTCCCGGCCAGGGGCCGAGGCTCGGCCGGAGCAGCCCCACTGGAGGGGGCCAAGGGACCCCTCCGCAGCCAGCACGTGGCTGCTCCTGGTCACCTTCCTGTCAGCCCCCTACAGGCGGGGAAACTGAGGCTCAGGGTCAGGCGTCTCCCTGCCGCTCCTGCCTCGGCCGAGGACGGCGGGGCCGGGTCCAAACACGCAGCCCCCGACGGCGGGTGTGGGGCAGCAGGCAGCGGCCGGGCCGGGGGCCCACGTGGGGGTCCGGTCCAGGCGCAGAGATTCCACACTCAGCACCCGCCCCGCCCTGCACCCCCTTTCCCTGCACCCCCTTTCCCTGCACCCCCTCTCCAGCTCACCTGGCTGCCCGTCCTTCCCTTCCTCCCCCACCTTCTCCACCCTGGGGTCCCCCCGCCCGCCCGCCCGCCCCTCCGGCCTCCCCGCGGCCGCACGGGACAGCACGTGGGGCCCGATCAGCCTCGGGGGCACCCACAGCCCCCCGGGCACCTGGCCACCCCCGCTCCTGACCCCCGCCCTGTGCCCGGCCGTGCCAGCCCGGGAGCTCTCTCCCTGTCCCCACACTTCCTCTGCCCGCCGCCACCACGGGGACTCCCTGTGCCGTCCTGCCACGCGGGCCGCACGCCCACCTTCTGGGCCGGGCCGGGGTCGGACTCCACTCAGGGCCCGGACCCCACCCTTCCCCCAGCCCCCCAGGGGCTGCTAGGGGCTTCTCAGCCCCGAGGCCCCACCTGCACCCGATGCCCACCTGCCCCTGGGCACCTGTGTGGGCCAGTGCCTGGCTGCCAACCTGAGCTGAGCCCCTCTGCGTGTGATGAGATGCTGCCGGGCCTGTGTTTCCTCCAGCCGGCCCTCGGGACCGGGAGCCACGGCGCGCCCTCCCGGGGCTCCGGCCAGGGGGTGGGGGTCCGCCTCCAGGCGGCCGGTGTGCCCTGGCCGCCGCTCACTCACCGCTCTGCCCGGCGCCTGTCCCCAGGCTGGAGCTGGAGCCCGGCCTGAGCTTCAGCGCTCTGGGCTCCTGCCCTGACACCCTGCCCAAGGGGCTGGGCCACACTCGGTCCCCGTGCCCCCTGCTGCCGGCTCGCTCGGGCTCCCAGGCCAGCACCCGCTCTGGCCGACAGACCACCCCGTCCCGAGGCAGCGCCGCCCACCAGACGCCCGGCCCTGCCAGGGCGGGGGGCCACCCCACCCCCAGATCCGGGCCTTGGGTGGGCCCGAGGCAGCCACGCCCCTTTGGACACTGTGGTTTGGAGGCCCGGCTTCCCCCAACCCCCTCGGGCCAGCCCGGCAGGCTGCGGGCCCCGGTGCTCACCCTGCTGGTCCCGACCGGGTCCCCAGAGGCCCCCGGGGCATGGCGGCCCCGGGGTGCCAGGAGAGCTGGCACGGAGACCCCCGTGGGCTTGCCGTGGGCAGACGCCTGGGCCAGGGGCAGACAGGCTCCCCCCCCCGGGGCTCCTCCAGCCTCCAGACCCTCCCCTGGGGGACCGGGAGCCACATGCCAGAAGGATGCCGGCAGGGCGACCCCGCCAGCCCAGACCCCGCCTCGTGATCCCTAACACTGACCTGGCCTGAGGGGAGCCCCCAACCAGCTGGGGTGGCTGAGGGGGCGGGGAGAGCCGGAGCCTGGCGCCAGGCTCCGTGGGGGTGGGGGCCAGCCCTGGGCCCGGGCCTGCCAGCCTGGGGCATCCTGCTGGGCAGACGGGACGGGCGGACCCGGAGTCTGGGAGGCCACACGACTGGCACAGCCCCGGGGGACGGGCCAGGCTTGGGTGAGAAAGACGCCGTGGGTGCCTAGCCTGTCCCAGAGAGGACACCCCCGTCCTGCCCTGTGCCCAGGCGTGGCGGCCGGGAGGGCCCGGGTGGTCTGCAGGCAGTCCGGCAGGGGGGACCAGGCTGAAGCAGTGGGCGCCCCCCTCCAGGGGCACTTTGGGCAGGGCGGCGCCCTCTCGGGGCCCGGCTCTCCCCCAGCAGGCAAGGGCTAGGGCTCAGTCTCTGGGACACAGAGACCTGCTAACCATGAGGACCGGGGTGGCCGAGTCCCCCGACCAGCAGGGCCGAGGGGGCCCCGTGGGCGTCTCCGGGGGGGGGGAGCCTGGAGGGCGTGCAGGTCAGCGCCTGCCTGCGAGCACCACACGGTGCGGCGTGGCGGGCGAGCTCCTACTGCGCGGGGGGCGCCCCCGCTCCCCGCTGTCCGGCGGCAGCGGGCGTCCCCCGGGAGCTCAGGGGGACCTTTCCTCCACTCCGACCCGCTGGCCTGCTGCCCGAAGGCCCGCCTGCCCCTGCCCAGGCCGACCGGGGCTTGTGCCGGAGCCTGCCCCCCCCTCGGCGGAGCCAGAGCTGTGCTGCCCGCCCCCGCCCCCGCGCCCCGCGGGCCCCTGCTCACCCTGGGCGGCGGCCTGGGAACAGACACCTGTGGCCCGGACCCCCGTCCCACGGGGGCTACGCCCAGCCAGACCCCCGGGACGCTCCCTGTCGTTCCTCGGGGGGCCTCAGTCTCCCCATCTGTTCAACGGCCCTGGTCAGCCCTGGGGATGGAGCCCAGGCGCGCAGGGCGACCACGGTGGCTCTCGGGAGGGCACGTCCCCGCCCGCAGGTCCTGGGACGGACTCGCAGGGTCCCCCTCGGGAGCGGGCAGAGTGGGGCTGCCAGGGGACGCCCCCGGCAGGGCCCCCCAGGCCCCACCACCACTCCCGCAGGGGCAGGGGCGCTCCTTGCGCCGTGCCCGCATGGCCCTGGCAGAGCTCCGCGGCTCCGTGTCTCCAGGGGCCTGGCAGGAGGAGCTGCCCAGCCTCCTGCGCACCTCGTCCCTCCTCTTTCCCGGTGCCAGGGCTTCCGGGGCCCTGGGGATGCCAAGACATGCCCATCAGGAGCTTCCCAGTGTGCCCCATGACACTAAAGGAGGCAGGGAAACAGCTCGTGGCCTGGCAGAGGAGCACAGTCCTCCCAGCTCGGAGGAAATCGAGGCAGACTGCATGGAGGAGGCAGCATTTCAGCTGGGCCTCTGTGCCTGGAAGGGTTGAGGAGGAGGTGGAAAGGCATTGCAGGCGGCTCAGAGGGAGGTGGTGAGTGCGGAGCCCGTGCTCGCAGCCCCCTCGAGGCCAGCTCTGCAGAGCCTCTGGCCCTTTGCCCCTGAGCTCTCTCCACGGCACTGCCAGGGGGTGCCCCCGCACCCCTCAGAGAAGGAAACTGAGGCCCAGAGAGGATGGGGCACTGGCTCGGGACCTGAGGAGGCTGGGACCTGGGGGGTCGGGCCGGGAGGAGTTCTGAGTCCGAGGCCCGAGCACCCCCCACGGCCCGTGGTGCCACCGGCACAGGGATGGCGCGCTGGGGGCGGCGGGTGCACGGGCTGCAGAGCCGTGCCATCGTCTGTGAGGTGAGAGCGACTGTGTGGTCCCCAGTGTCAGCGGGGCCACAGGTGAGGCCTGGGAAGCTGTGGGCGACAGACTCTTCATCCCGGGAGCCCCGAGCCAGGGCAGAGAGCCCAGCCGGGGCCTCGGGGGGGGGCCGCCCGGCGGCCTCCGGGGACCCAGACGTGCAGATGGGACAGGAGGAGACGCGGTCCGTGTGCCCGCCCCTGCGCAGACCGGCGCCCGGCCTGGCCGGCCTGGCACAGCCCTCACCCTGCCCACAGCGTAGGGGCAGCCCCGGGGAAAGGCTCGGGGAGCCCCCCGCCCGGGGCCAGCCTGGCACGGCCAGCCGGCCCTGCCCTCTGAGCCCCGGCCCGGGCCAGGGGAGACCTACCTCGGGAGGTCCTCCAGGGCCTGCATGCCAGGGTCCCGCCTCGAGCTGCTCGCGCCGCTGGGGCCGCCCGCGCAGCCGGCGGCCTGGCCGGACCCCGGCCCTGGGGACGCGCCACCGGCTCCTTCTTCAAAGGCCCCGCTGGCCCTCTGTCGCTCGCTGCCCTCCTCCTGCGTCTCCTCCTCGACTTGGACCCCTCTCCCCGTCTCCTTCTCTTCCTCTTCCTCTTCCTCTTTCTCTTTCTCTCCTCTCCCTGCCTTCACACCCTCCGTCCCAGCCCTCCATCCCTGCCGCCACTCCCTGGCTGGCCTGGTCCTGGGCCCTGACGCCCCTGCCCCTGTCCCCTCTCTCCGTCTGCTGGTCCATCCTGGACCCTCAGTCCCCGGGGGGGGTGTATCCCGGGCTGCCCCCTGTGGACTGTCCCCGGGGGGTCTCTGCCCCCCTCTGCCCCCCGCCTCTGGGCCTCTGGGCCTCTGGACTCTGTGGGTCCCGGCCCCCTCCTCCCGCGGGCTCAGCAGCTGCTTCCCTTTTGTTCCCCCCAGCGCCCCCCTCACCCCCTCAGTCTCCGCCACCTCCGCTGCCCTCTCCCTGCCAGACTAGTAAAAGCACCAGGGAGAAGCCCTTGCTCACTGCCCGCCCGCCGGGCTCGGTGGGACCTGGGGGGGGGGCCTGTGATGGGCAGGAGCTGCCCCTTCCCCTCCGCACCCCCCCCGGGCCACCTGGCCGGCCTCTTCCCGCCCCCCCCCCCGTCTTCCCCATCGCCCCTGCGCCCCCAGCTCTCAGGGCGCGTGGTCCGCAGTTCTGCCTCCCCATCCTTTTGAGCCTTCCTCCTCCTCCTCCTCCTTGCCCGGCCAGGCCCGGCCCGGCCCGGCCCGGCCCGGCCCGCTCTCGGGCCCTCCTCTCCTCCTCTCCCGCATCTGCCGTCTGGTCCAGGGTGCTGCCCGCACCCTCTCCCCCTGCCGCGCCCTCCACGGCGCTGCCCGGGTCCGGGCCGCCCTCAGCCCTGCCTTCCTCGGCCCCTTGCCGGCTCCCCGGTCCCAAACTCAGCCCCGGTCTCCTCTCTCCCCTGTGGTGTCTCTCTGTCCCTATCTCGGTCTCCCTCCCTCCCTCCTTCCCTCCCCTCCCTTCCTCTCCCCTCCCTTCTTCCCTCCCTCCCTCCCCTCCCTCCCCTCCCCTCCCTCCGGGTGCTCCATTTTCCTTTGTTTATTCCCAGCCCTCGGCTCCTTTTATCACCTCAAGGGGGAGGCCCGGCACCCCAGGGATCCCCTCTGCTCCCCCGATGGGGAGGCCCCCCCCCCGCCCCGTGCTGGGCGGCCGGAGCAGCGGGACCCCGAGCGGCGGGCGCCGGCTCAGCCTCCCCGGGTTGGCACCAGGCTCCCGAGGGGTGGCCCCTGGGCAAGGTCAGCGCGGTGCCCTGGCCAGCCGGCCTGTGGCCCCTGGCCCTTTGGCGAAGGCCCCGGAGAAGCAGCCCAGCCCGTGGTTCCGCCGGTTGGGCTCAGCCACCGTGACTCACGGGAGGCTAGTGGCCGGACGAGGGGAGGGACTGGACGCGCCCGAGGGGACTCACTGCGGGCCGGCCGTCCTCCTCCCCGCCGGGGCCCGCCGCCCGCCGGCCGAGGAGCAGACGCCCCGTACCCATGTCTCAGATGGGGAAACCAAGGCTCCGGCCATCCCAAGGTCTCAGAGCCCAGCGGAGCCAGAACCGCGGGCCAGGTCAGCCCCCCCCCCCAAGCGCTGGCCCAGGAAGGCCGCGCCTGTGCACACGGCCCTCCGGCCCGCCCCGGTCCCACAGCCACTGCTAGGGGCCACGTGAGTGGACAGAGCGCAGGGGTGCGACCACGGCGGCGGCCGCGGGTGGACGGGAGAGCCCACCGCCGTGTGAAGGTGGCGGTGCTGGCTGTGGCGGCGTCAGCCGGGAACATTCCACGCGGGCCCTCGGCCCCGATCGGCCCACGGTGACTCAGGTGGTGGCCGGCGGGGGGAGACTCCGTGGGGGTCAGGAAGTCTGGCTCAGATCCCCCTCCGCCCACACACTGGGCCGGGCCCCGTGGCCAGTCCTGGAGAGGAGCCTGAGCAGCTTCCCCGCCCCCGCTCCCTCCAGGAGGGGCCGGCACGGCGGGGAGCCGCGGAGCCGCGGTGCCCGCTGCCGTCCCCAGCACCCGGCCACAGCTGCACACACCTCGGGGTGCGGGGTGATGCGGGGGAGGGAGGGAGGGCGGGGCGGCTGGGCGCCCGGGGAGGTGGGCCTGGCCTTCTCGCTCGCCCGACCGCCGGCACCCCCTCGCCTGTCCGCTCCATTGCGGAATCTTAGTCACAGCAGGGAGCGGGCCTTGCCAAGGCCTATTTTGGTTCAAAAGAAGGAAAAGTATTCCCGCAGGGCGGAGGGCTGCCTGGGGATTGTGGGAAACCCCTGACACGAGGGGGGGTGGGTTGACAGCAGAGTCACACAGCCCCCCCCGTCCGTCGGGACTTCTGGCCAGGGGAGGCGGCGAGAGCGGACCCTGCGCCGGTGGCCAGGCTCCGGGTTCCCCTCCAGCGAGTGTCCGACCAGGGACACGGGGCAGCACTTGCGGCCTGGACCCCACCACCGTGCGTACCTCCATCCTCCCACCCACGCCTGCTCCCGCCCAGTCACTCCTCCGCGGCCACCGGTCCTCCCCTCCGTCCGCCACCGTACAGCCGTCTGTCTCTCCACGCGGCATGGACCCACCCACCAGGTTCTCAGTCTACCGGCCGCCCGGCGACCCGCACAGACACACCGTCTCCTCTGGTCAGCGTCCCGGCACCATCCACGCACACACGCACACACACGCGTGTTTACCCGTCCCCCTGGGCAACGCTTTCCTGGGCCAGTGTCCACCCACCCACCTCCCTGCCATTCACACACACGCTTGCATCCCCCCCACACGCATCTCCCCACCCGTTCACACACACGCATCTCCCCGCCCTTTCACACACATGCTGACACCCCCCCCACACACACGCCCAACTCTGTCTCCGTGTCTCTGTGTCCCCGTGCACACGTGTCCTCGGAGGAAGCATGGCCCCAGCAGTCGTCCGTCGGGACCGTGCCCGTGACCTGCACCCCCGCCCGACAGCCCGTGGGTCTGCTGGCCCGGCCGCCCCGGCCGTGAGCTCCCTGTCGGCTCTGTGCTGCGGCCTTGACCGCCCCCCCCCCAGGCTCTCCTGTCCTCACTCCCCCCGGTCTCTCCCCAAGTGTCCCCGTGTCTGCCCCCCCCACCCTGCACGCGTCCGTACGTCTGTCCGCCCATCCCCCCGTGTGCTCAGCCACCTTGCGAGTCACGCCGGCATCCAGGGGTGCGTGAGCACACGTATGTGCCTCCGCCCTCCCACACGCGTCTGTCCTCACCCCCTGCCCTCCTCCTCGTCCCGTCCGGCCAACCATCACCCCCTCCCCCCCGCCTCGCCACGGGTCCTCACGTGGTTGTCCGTCTGTCCACGTTCTCCTCGCCAGACGCGCCAGACCCCCCCCACCCCCCGGCCGTGGTTTCGGTGCCGGGGAGCGCGTGGGAACCGAGGCCCTGCTCCCTCACGAGGCTGACGTTGTTGTGGGGACGCACGGCGTCGGTGCCGGTGCCGTCCCGCGCCAGGTGAGCTGAAGGCGCCCTGGAGAGCGTGCGCGTCCCAAGCCCCCGACCAGGTGTGCGCCCGCCGCCCGCGCTCGGCCACGGCTGACCCGCCGCGCGTCCGGGTGCTCGCGGCCCGCCCGCCTTCCCGTCCGCCTGTCCTCCCTGTGTTTGCCCGTCTCTCCATCCGAACATCTACTCACTCTCCAGATCCGCCCGCGCGTTCGAGCCCGCGACAGCCCTCGCTGACCTGCCCACCTTCCGTCCAGCCCCTGGCCCCCCGGCCGCGTCCCCGCTCCGTTCGCCCACCTGCGCACCTGCCCGTCCCCCCGAAGTCCGCCTGGCTCTGGGCCGCCCGCTCCGTCCCCGTCCAGGGCTGCTGCTCGGCTGACTGCGCACGTGGGCTCCAAACAGCAGCCCGCGGAGAGGCTGACGTCCGCCCGTCCCCTCGTCCGCCCTCCCGGCGTCTGCTCACGCACACGCCCGCCCGCAGCGCCACACGCCCGCCGGCTCCCGCGCCCGGTGCCGCCGCCGCCACCACTGGCTCACGGGTGTGAGGAATCACGCGCCAGAGACTTTCCTACGTGGGTCCCTTTATTACGACGTGACCTTCATAAAAAACCCCTCGGGGGTGGGGGGTGTGCTGCTTCAATGAGGAGACTGAGATAAAGAGTGTTAAGTAATTCACTCAAAGTTACGTACATCTGTTTTCATTATTTTATAACTCAACGATGTATGTTCTATCGCTAATTTTGACCATCCATGTGTCTACCGTTTGTCTGTATAGTCAACTGACCATTCACCCATTGATCTGTTCACTCGTCTATCCAGCGGTTTGTCCACACAAACATACTTACACACACGTGTTCTCCTGCCCTCCGCTTACTCTCTCTGTCTGTCCTCCCACCCACCCACCCACCCACCCATCACCCATCCATCCACCCAAACATCATCCACCCATCATCCATCCATCCATCCGTCCATCCTTCCATCAATCCACCCACCCATCCACCATCCTTCCACCCACCCACACATCCATCCATCCATCCACCCACCCACCCATCCATCCACCCACTATCTTCCCACTCACTCATTCACCAATCTTCCCACCCATCCATCCACACGTTTATTTACCCACCCTTCCTTCTATCCATTCAGCAATTTATCTACCCATTCGTCCATCCATCGTTCATTCATCTATCTCGTTCCTTCTTCCTACTTTTCTTCGTCCACCTTTTCTTTAATTCGGATTTTTCTCCATCACTGAGTCTCTCATTTCCCTTTGTTTCCTTCTGTGACTAAGACTCGGTCCCTAAGCGGTGTCCCAAGAGGACAGGGGAGCAGCCCCGTGGCCCGTGGCTGGTGCCGCAGTGGAGCCTGGGCAGGGGCTGGAGAAGGCGGGTCTGTCCTCCGGTCAGACACTCCCGTGCCCACTCACCCCCACTCCCACTCCCACTCCCACTCCGGAACGCGTGCTCCCAGGGCGCAAGGGGGAACTGGCGGTGGGAGCCCACGGTGTGGGGGGGCAGTGGGTCGGGGATGCTGGCCTCGGGGCTCTGGGTGACTCCAGATGGAGAGAAGTCCCCAGCTCCCAGAGGAGGCAACCTCCGGATGGCCGCGAGCTCATCGGCCTCCTGGGCGCCTCCGGCCAGCCAAGGCGGCCCAGGGGGGCCTGGGGGTGCCGATGGAGGTGTAGGGACTTGGGTTGGGTCTGGGACCAAGGGAGAAGCTGAGTCTTCTTTCTAGAGTCTTCTAAAATCAACTGGCTAGATGCATCTGTCCCAAGTCCCACTTCTTTTTGAGAGGAAGTGCCTGGGGGCGGGGGGGAGGAGGAGGCGGCAGCCCTGGGTGCCCTCAGAGGCCAGCGAAAGCGCAGGTCAGTCTGGGAAGGAGGGCCCAGCCCCTGCCGTGATGGGGCCCTGCTCCTCGCAGAGCCAGGGGGAGCCCCCA